CCCCAAAACCCCAAAACCCCAAAACCCCAAAACCCCAAAACCCCAAAACCCCAGTCGTAAAAATTTAAATAAAATATTAATATTTAATTCTTCATAATTAATAATTTGAAACAGTTAGTATAAATTATGGCAACTCTATCTTAAAAGGGATCAGTCAGTGGAAAGTCCTAAATGAGTGATGCTAGAAGAGAAAGACTTCTTGATATCCAAAAAAGAGAACAGCTCAAGGGTCTTCTCGTCAATAAATTCAAAGTCAAGTATGGAGATAAACCAGCATTGGCATCATACATCGACAATGAAGTTTAAAAATTCTTAAAAAATGACAGATTAACAGAAGAAAACCTTAAAAAACTAGACGATAAAATTCTCAAGGAAGCAGAACTGAGAGATAGAAAACAAGATATCATTGATGACAGAAGATCAGAGAAATCAGCTGGTCAAAGATCTCGAGCTGGATCTCAAAGACCAGGTACTCATGGCAACTAAAGAGCTGGACTCGACTTAGAAACTAGATCAGTTGCAAGTTCAAGAATGTCAGGTGCTAGCAAATTATCTAAGACCTCTAAGCACAAGGAAGCTCCAATCTAAGGCAGACAGTTTGATGCAATCTCAATGACCTCATCCCAAGCATAAAAGACTGAAGTTTACTCTGAAATAGATGAAGATGATGAATGGACAGCAATCCAAAAATTCAATACTCTCTTACATTATGAAGAATAAAAGTAGGCACTTCTAAGAGATAAAGAACGTAAGAGACTTATAAGAGAGGAACTAGAAAAATAATTAAACGAGAAAAAGAGCCGAAAGCAAAGAGAGAATGAGGAGGGTAAGATGTATGAAAAGCTTCAAGAGCAACATATTAAATTGTTAGAGGAGAGAGAAGTTGAAAAGCAATAAGAAATGAAGAGAAAAATCATGTAGGAAAAGAATAGCAGAGATAAGCAATTACATGAGGAGAAATACAGAAGAAAGGTTGAGGATAAGGAACAATTTAAGCAAGAAGTAGAGCTAGTTAAAAGACTACAAAGTGAAATGGATTAAGAGAGACAAATGCTTCAAGAAAAAAGAAGATAGGAGAAAGAATATCTTCAGAAAATGCTCACTGAGAATGAAAGGTAAAAGGCTAAGGCTGCAATTGAGAAGGAAAGAGAGAGATAGGAGGACATCAAGGCTCAGCAAGAATATGCTAGAATGCTTGAGAAGCAAGAAGCTGATAGACTAAATGAGTTCAAAGCAAGAGAGCACAGAGCTTAAGAGTTCATGAACAGAATGGCTGATACTGTTATAAAGAATATGGACGAAAGATAAAGAGATGAAGATGATAAAATCAGACGCTACGAGATGGAGAAAGAAATGAGAGAAAGAATGGAGGATGAGAAGAAATACAACAAAGTCAAGAACGAGCAACAAAGAATGAGAGACTTCCTCGCAAAGCAAATGGATGAGAAGAGACATAGAGAAAATCTAGAAAAAGCACTTAATGACGAGCAGGCTGTCATGTGGAAGCAAGATCACAGAAACTACAATGAGGAAGAGAGAAGACTGAATGATAAGATCAACAAAATAAATAAGGAGAACGCTGATTTCCTAAAGAAGCAAATGGATGATAAGAACTCTAAAATCAGAGCAAAAATGAACAAGCAAGAATTCTTACTCAATAAGCCTCTTCTCAAGGAAATCAATGAGAAGAAGAGAACTACCTAATACGGAGGATCAATGAGAGATAATGAATCCGTCTAATGAAATAACAAGCTATTACTACTGATATATAATTTTCATTTAAGATTCTTAGAACTTTCAATTTGCATATTCAAGGGGTTTTGGGGTTTTGGGGTTTTGGGGTTTTGGGGTTTTGGGGAGATCGGAAGAGCACACG